TAAAAATCTGTTGAACTATTCTCTCCCTCCTGACTATGCCTCTAATCTTGTCAAAGAAGTCACCACTGAAGAGATTAAAGAATCCATTTTTGGCCAAGGGAATGACAAAGCCCCTGGCCCTGATGGGTTTACCCCTCTATTTTTCAAAAAGGCTTGGTCAATTGTTGGTGAAGATGTTGTGACCGCTGTTAAATACTTTTTTCAGCAGTCCACCCTCCTTCCTGCTTTTAATTCAACCACAATTGCTCTGATCCCCAAAATACCCAACCCCAACAAAGTCAAAGACTTTAGGCCTATATCTTGTTGTTCTGTTATTTATAAGTCCATCACCAAGATCCTAGTTAAGAGACTCACTAATCTCATTCCTGAAATTGTTTCTCTCAATCAAACTGCTTTCATTAAAGGAAGGAGTATAGTTGACAATACCCTCTTAGCTCAAGAACTGGTCAAAGGCTATGGTAGGAAATCGATTTCTCCCAGATGTTCTTTAAAAATTGATCTTCAAAAGGCTTTTGATACTCTTCATTGGGACTTTATTTCTGCTACTCTCAAATCCCTCAATCTTCCTCAGAGATTTATCAACTGGATTGAGGCTTGTTTCTCTGAAGCTAGATACTCAATCTCTTTTAATGGAAGCTTGATAGGTTATTTTAGGGGAGCTAGAGGTATTAGACAAGGTGATCCTCTTTCTCCTATCCTCTTTGTTATCTCCATGAATATCCTTTCCAGTCTGCTTAACCTAGCTGCCTCTAATGGTTTATTCAACTATCACCCTAAATGCAAAAAAATTGGGCTTACTCATTTATCCTTTGCTGATGATTTATTAATCTTTTGTAAAGGAAATGTGGATTCTGTTGTAGGAGTCATTTCAGTTCTTGATCGTTTTTATGAAATGTCGGGCCTTAACCTCAATGCTGGAAAATATGTCTTCATTACTGTTGGTATTTCTAACAATAACATTGATCTTATTAGAAGAGTTACTGGTTTCCATCACGGTTGCTTGCCTGTTAGATACCTTGGTCTTCCTTTAGTAACTAGAAAACTTTCTGAAACCGACTGTGGACCTCTGATTGATAGTATTAAATCTAGACTCAACATTTGGTCTAGTAAACTCTTGAGCTACGCTGGCAGACTTGAGCTCGTACGAGCTGTTCTGTTCAGCATTGTTAATTACTGGTGTAGGCAATTACTGCTCCCTCAGTCTGTAATCAGAAAGATTGATCAACTCTGCTCCCGATTCTTCTGGAAAGGCTCCGATAAATCGGCTACTGGTGCGCGTGTCTGCTGGGGGAATATCTGTCGACTGAAATCGGAAGGAGGTCTTGGATTGAAAGACCTCAAGTCTTGGAATAGGTCCTGCATTATCAAACTCATTAAAAATATTCTTGCATGTGAGGGTTCTCTTTGGGTTGCATGGATTAATGCTTACGTTATCAAAGATAAGGATTTCTAGAATCTTGAAGGAAGTCCTAGCCTTAGTTGGAGCTTTAATAGAATTCTTAAATTTAGAACTTCAGCTTCTCCTATCATTTTGAATGGAGCTTCAACCATTAGGGAAATTTGGCTAGAGATCCGTAACAAGGATAATAAAGTTCCCTGGCACACCTTGATCTGGTTCCCTCAACATATTCCTAAGCATAGTATGTTAGCTTGGATGGCGATTTTAGATAGACTTCCCACCCGTGATCGTCTTATTCGCATGGGGATTAATACCAATGGAATTTGTGTTATGTGTAATACAACCCTTGAAAGCCGGAATCACTTGTTCTTTGATTGTTCCATTGCCTCTGTCCTTCGAGGTAAAATTATGCTTCTTAATAGGCTTAGCAAAACACTCTCAACTTGGGAGGACATGGTAACTTGGGCGTGCAACACATGGAAAGGTAAATCTCTCATCTCTACTATTCTTAAACTTGCTTGGTGTGCTAATATCTATGTTTTGTGGGAGGAACGTAACCGAAGAATCTTCAAGGGATGCTCCAGAACTGATGACGAACTATTCAACAGCATCAAAGACTTAGTTGGCATTAAGCTTAGGGGAAAAATCATTAATAGGCTAGATTATGTAAACTCCAACCTTTGTACTTCTTGGGGTATCTACTAACTGATCGCTCTTTTCTGTATTTCAAGTAATTGTGTTCAGTGATTGGAAATTGTTTTGTAGCAAACATTGATTCTTTGGGTAATAAAATTATTCATTTATCCAATATATATATATATATATATATATATATATTTGGAATAATCATGAATCATCGCTTACACAGAGGAAATAGCAGGTGACCACCTTCTTCTCTTTCATATATGATTATTGAAAGTTCTATATTTTTTGAAGTGAAATGTTGAATCCATCATAGTTTGGAGTGGGAATAGATAACATAAGACTTGAATTTTGTTTTTTTTTAATGTTACTATACAATAATTTTATTGTTTCAAATATGCCAATATTTGTTAAAATGTGATAGTTAATAAATTTACATTTCATAGCTTAATATATTTATTATAAATCCTCTTATTTTGAAAGTAAGATTTTTTAAAAGAATGAAAAAGTAAAGAAATATTGTGATCCTTTTATGTATACAATACATATTAGATTTTGTCACATACGATACGAATGAAAGAAAATATTATATTTTTAAAATTTTCAATAATAACAATTATCATTATACATAAATCTGGTTAAAATTATGGATGATGCAGCCACACGAATGAGCACGGTTGACGATGAGACTATTAAATTAATTTATAAAAGGTTAAATTATAAAGTACTAAACGTATAATTATAAATTAGTTAAAAATCTAAATGTAATTTAATTAAGATATGATATTTATAAAACATTAGTTTTTATAATTTTATTTTAATTATAATTAGATCACATATTAATTTGGGAAATTTATAAACCTTAATTTATTTTCATAGATTTGAAGATCCTGTCGCAACCGCTGATGACATCATCTTTCACTATCGGCGAACGAAAAAGACTAAATCGACGTGAAAGATGGTATCGGTGGCAGCTACGGCGCTGACTTTAAAGCTATAAAAATAAATTATGGTTTATGAATTTTCCAAATTAATATTTAATCTAATTATAATTAAAATAAGATTATAAAAACTAATGTTTTATAAATATTGTACTTTAATTAAATTACAGTTAGATTTTTAACTAATTTATAATTTATATATTTAGTACTTTATAATTTAACTTTTTATAAATTAATTTAATGGTGCTCATCTACGTTCGACGAACGTTGTAGAATTTTTCTAAAAGTATACATATATTTTTTAAAAAAATTTATTTTTTAGAATTTATCCCCTTTAAAAAAGAAAACAAAAAAGGAAGATATTGTGCCTTATAAATAGTGGTATTGTTGATATGTAAGTAAAAAAAACCCTATTGTTATCTCCTAATTCACTCATTTTAAGCTTAATTTTTAGGTAGCTTATGCACCATCCTACATCATAAGTAGTGAAAATGTACTTTTTAAGATTAGAATGCATATAACATTTTTTTTAGCATTTTGCTATCTTGTTTATTAAACTCATTTGGTATCATTTTTAGTATAAAATCAAGTTAGGAATTGATACGGAAAGAAACAAATTAAACAAAGGATAATCACTGTCAAAGTACACCACGACGAGAAAAGAAAGCATCACGATGATTAGTCGAGAATTGAACGATGTGATTTACATTCATTGTGTGCCACATTGCAAGTGATTTGCATCGGGGCAATCTGATGTGTGCATTAGGGTATTGATAGTTTTATAATATGTAAGGACAGACGTATATTTTATGTGATAGCTCTCGATTAAACGCAGTGTAAGTCTTATTTAGAGAGTTTAGCAAAAGAGGTTGACATTACTTAAGTTTTACTTTGTTTAAGAGATTTTTGGTACTTCAGATTGTTTCAACCTATATACTCGAGCACTGTTGTATATTTATTATTAAATCATTATTGTTGTTTATTTTAAGTTGAGTCATGCATTACATTAATAGTTTTAATTAATTAAGGTGTGAAGTCATTAATTAGTTCATATGTGATATGCTTTCTTTGTGAATTAAACCCTCAAAATTCATAGCTCAAAACTATTATTAAAACGGGATGATTTGAGTAGAGTTCTTGAGACAAACAAGTTAAGCTTATTTAACAGAACAGATACATCCAAGTAATCTCACTTTGATTCACGGAGGTTGGTCTGTCTCTAGGCAATAATTTTTATATTTATGAGAACCATATATTATTTAATTATTTTTCTAATTTTAAGAATGGAAAATTGAAAGCTGTCAATCTGATCCCATGAGTCCCACTGATCATTGGTAAGAATGAGACCGCCACAATTCTGGAACTTCTGCAACTGCCAAACTATGTTGTTCCATTCCCTAATAAAATCAAAATGATTTAAGATATTTTCTTTTTTATAAATAAAAAATATATTTTATTAAAATTATAATGTTTAGTTAGCTGAATAATTAATTTCACATTTTCATCTTTAGAGGACGTGGAATAAATTTGATCAAAGATGGCATAGAAAACGAAGTAGGAAAATGGACTTATTTGTTATGATTTAAATTAAAACAAAATTTGGGTTTATTATTTTGGAGTGCGACATAAGGGTATAAATGAGATATATTGTTTGAATTATCGATTGAATTAAATTTAAATATCATGCGATTTAAGTGGATCACAAATTTACTCGATCTTTTCAATTTTAATAGATATTATATTATTAAATTATATACTATAAATTTAATTGTTTTTGTAAAATAATAAAATAGTAGTAGCATTAAGAAGAAAACACTGTATATTGACTATTTGAAATACTGGAATGGTTAGTTTCAGTGAGGTGGACATCATTGAAACCAGTGCCCGTAAGTAACGGCCCAGAATCTCTCTCCACTCTCTTTATCATCTTCTCTCTTGTCCCTCCCTCTCTCTCCATTGCTACTTGTCTTGCCTTTTTCTTCCATTTCTAATCTCTCTCTCTCTCTCTTCTGTAAATAAATCAGTGAAGAGAAAAGTGCAAAAAACACCCACATATATAAACGACCATGTTGCTAGGTAAACGCATACGCCATCCTATCAAAAGGACGACAAGCATGACGGGGATCACGGTGGATGTCGTCTCCAACGTGGACGATGGTGTTATTGTCCAAGAACCTATCATATCGGATGACCTTCAAAACCACCCTTTCCATGAACTCCCTAACGCCAACTCCGGTTACGATCTCCGTTTGTTGTCCATGGTGTCTCCAAGAAACCCCGGCGGCGATGGTAGAAGATCGGGTTTTACTAGTAACCATGATCTCAACGGCACTGCTCCTTTTTTACGCTCCTGTTGCCTCTGTAAACGCCACTTAGCTCCTGGTCGTGACATATATATGTATAGGTAACTAATTCCCCTCTCTCTTTTTCTTTTTTCTTTCTTCCAACAAAACCTTGTTTAAGTCCAGTTTGAAATTATTGCAGGGGGGATACAGCGTTTTGTAGTCTAGAGTGCAGAGAACAGCAGATGAAGCAAGACGAAAGAAAGGAAAAATCCAACCTTTTACCTTCAAAGAAAGAAGATCGCCATGCATACGCATATCCATAGCTAAAACTGGCAGTGGCATGCTTCCGACATTCTAAATCTGGAGAAGAAGAAGCAAAAAGATTCCAAAGTAGCGCATCCCAAAATAAGAAACAGTGAAACTGGATCGCCTTTCGTCATCCACTAATCTGTTCCACTCCATTATCGGAAACCCTCTCATGTTTCACAGTATTATTAAAAGATTGATGACGACGATGATGAAAACAATATCATGGGTGTGCTGTAATATATTATATAAAATGGAATACAAATATTAGTGGGTGCTGTTGTAGGAGTATGTGGATGCTGATGCAAATTGGCAAATCTTGGAGCTTGAGATCAGCATTTATTTTAACTTCTCTCCAATATCTTCGAGCTTTTTCATTTTCCTTTCTTTTATGCCTATTTGCTTCTTTTCTTTTAATGGCAAACTAAATTGATCATATTATGAATGAATTAATTATAGTAATTTAATTAGTAAATATTAGAAAATAAATATAATTTTTTATAGATATTATAAAATAAAAAGTTGATCACATATTAAAATAAATATTTATATACAAAATTATTGCAAACTTATAACAGTAATATTTAGCTTAACATTTAGCTTATTCCCTTCATATTCAACTTCTGTCCTCATTTCCCAAAGCCTTTCTCATTTTGTCCCCTCTCTTTTGCCCCTCTTTCATCTCTTATATTTCTCAATCTTAAAGCTTGCTTTCAAGGTGGTAACTTTATGAAGTTACACCACCCATCAAGGTACTCAAAGATAATTACCTTCTTTCCCTTATTATGAACCTTATGATGAGCTCAAGACCTCTAAAGATGCATGGTGGTTTAGTTCAATCCAATATTATAATCTTGAGTGTTTCGTGAATGAGTGTAACGTGATTGCTTGATTGCTTAATATGTTGATGTGTTATGGTAGTTTAGCATAATGATGGGTTTTAGTGGCGATATGGAATCAATCAATTAAATTACTTTATCGATAGAATTATTTTGTCTTAGTGACATCTAGATATTAAATTGTAATGACAAGAATATTATATCGTCTGATCGACACTCCTATTAAATGGGGGTTTTTATTTCACCTTAACGATGCAGGTACTATCTAGATACCCCATTTTCATAATACGCATATACAATTATTCTACATCATGTTCTGATACGCTCCTTTATGATTATGTATTTGCTAAGTTGTTGGGACAAGCATAGGTGTTTGATCAACATATAACTTATTGTTCTATGATATACGTTAAACGCCTTAAATAGTTTGTTCCATGATTATGCTTAATTTGTTTGTGTTACCAGTTTCATGTAGCTGTAATAAAGTAATCTGTATTATTGATAGTACATGGTTTATTTTTTTAGTGTGCATGTATTATTATGAGACCTTGATCATTTAGTCTAGATTCTTTAACAAAAGGCTAGAGCCATGATAGTCCTTCCTTCTCTATGAAATTGTAATGATTTAAAATAATAATTTGAACCAAATATTTGCATAACAATTATTATTATCGCTAAAGCTAATTAATCGATGACAAAAGTAAGAAATAATCTTAACATTTTAATTTAGAAAACAAAATAATAATAAAAAAGTTAGAAAATTTATTGATAAGGTACATAATAAACTTGTAAGGTATGAAGAAAAGGTGGGGGCAGTGTATGATTTTTGGTTCACATTATTAAGAATATTGTTATGGACTTTGCAGACTGCGATAGGGACAACAATCGACCAACTTAGCCCATGCCAAACGATACTCTCCATTTGTTATAGATGTGTCCTTTGTTTTTATTCAATTATTATTATTTAATATTCAATTGGATGACACAAATCAAGTGATCTCCGTGATAAAGGAATTATTATTATTCTTTGAAGATTTGGATTCGAACACTATACATACTAGGAATGTAACCGTTCAATGTTGAGAGGTTTAGGCGATACTGAAATAACGATGAAAATAGATTAATTACTCTAAAGAAAGTGGTTAAGTTTTTATCAGTATTGAAAAACATAAAACTTTTATAATACTATTTGTTATTTTTATATTTTGATACATATAATTTATTATTTTTAAAAGCATTTTCTTGTTGAATTAGAACAACATAAAAGTTTTATACAAATATTGATAATTGACTTTTTTTCAGAGGTGAAAATAGCATATATTCCAACTTAAACTTGCCCTTTGTATTTTTCTTCGTCGCCATTAGAAAATCCCTTGCTCTGGTCCCTATCGCACAATGTACTTAATTTCCTGAAATTCAATGTAAAAAAAAAAAATTGTAAAGCTTACTTTTGGAATGCACAAGGTAAATCCCATCCGATGAAAAAAGAAAAAAAAAAGATTACGAGTGTTAGGAATTTCAATTTTTAATTTTTTTAATACAATTCACCTTTTTAAAAATAAGAGTAAATTACATTAAACCATCATTCAACTCTCCTCTCTCTCTTATTTTGATCACTGAAGTTTTTATAAAATTTAAATTGTCAAATGTTTATAAGTGGAATGCTAAAGGACTTGCATATATAATAAACCATACATTAGAAGCGAAAGTGTGAAGAAACAACAATTCTTTAACAGTAATACTTACCATATTTACTTTACAAATAAAAATATTTTTTTTAAATTTTCAATTAAATTAACACTTGATTAATTGATAATATTAAACTCAATTAAAATTCTAAACATTAAAATTACAAATAATCATATATGAATTTATTTATTTTTATCTATTGATAATATTTTTTTATTAATGAGATTAACAAAAATATTTTCAGTTTTAGTTTTATTTTTCCACTTACAAATAATTACGGTAGAGGCTTAAGATATTTTGGTGAGTGTCCTTTTCTGAAACAATAAATGTCAAATCTCAATTTTGTCAAATATGTATGGTGGCCTTCTATTAATTATACTTTTTTGACATTCTTCCATTAATGGTGCAATCAATCACCTTACCATTTATATGATTTTCTTTTTCTTTCATGTTATAGTATTCATCTTTAAATTTCGTAATTCGTATTTCTTTTAATAATATTATCAATAAAATTTAATTATAGACTTTTTAAAATTATAATAAATCATATTACCATATTCAATATTTATTAATACATCTTATAGCGAAAAAAATTCACTTACTATATTATTTTTTTATACATATGAGGTAAAGATGATTCATTATCTATTTAAAGACTTTCAACTAATTGACAATGAATGTTCATACCTATGTCGGTGCTCGAATTCCTGACCTCTAGAAAAATAATGAGTCCGTTAGCCACTGAAATCAATTGGTTCGTGTCACTGTATTAATATTGATGTACCATTTAAACCCTTCTTATGTGGACGAAAAAACAATTGTTCATTTGTTTGGCTATTTTGTAGAAATATATGGCAGGATTTATTTTTTCTCTTTCTTTTATGGGATGATTTATTATATGTATTGAATATTTAATGGTTACATGATTAATCTGATATAATATCCCTTATGAAGTGAAAGATGGGAAGTATGATACCCTTAAAAGTTGAAGATCTCAAATGTATTAAAACTAAAAAATATTTTAACACGATATAAATTTCACTCAGAATGATTAATCTGAAATTATATATTAAAAAATTTAATAATCTAAATTTAAAATTAAGAAAATGAAAAGGTTAATTACCAACAACTTGAAATGATTTAAAGATCAAAATAATCCCAGCACACTAAAATCTCTATCTGTGCATTTCAATTTTAATTTAAACTATTGTTTAGCCTAAACAATTACAGAAGAAAATAGTTAAGCTAAAAAGAAAATATTGATAATAATAAAATTTCACGTTTCATCATCAAACTGTATCAAATAAATACTTTTAAGGTATAGATAAAATGAGAAGGAAGAAGAGGGGCATCATCAGCTGTAAAATTGTCGTTTATAATTAAAATTATGAAAATTATCAAGTTGGAGTCTTTTGTTGATTATTTTATTTGTGTGAGATCGGATGTTGCTCTGCTTAGGCCTTTGGGTAGAGTCTTTATATCTTATTAATGGTTTTCTGAAAAATAAAAATTATTAAAATCATCATTTAAATTATGAAATAATCCTTTTAATTTAATGTATTTCACTTAAACATTAGAATTTTAAATTTTAATATATTTAAGGAATTTAATATGTTATCATGTTAAATTAAGTTATAGTTATATTATAAAGTGAATTTTATACTCTTTAATAATTCAAATGTGATGTTAGATGAAAATTGTTATTCTATACGTAAACTCAATTGACTTTATATATTTAATATTACGTGTACATCTTAAGGCCCATATAATTATTACTTTTTCAATAACTAAGAATAAACAATTCTAAAATCTTATTGTTTCGAGGACTCAATTAAAAGTCCTTGTCTCATTCAATAACTAATAAATTATAATAATATTATATATAGTTTTAGAGAATATAATTTTTATAGCCACCGAAAGTAAACGCTGAGGCCTACATTTAAGCTCTTTTTTAGTCATTATTGTCTCATTCAAACTAAATTTAATCAGTTTTATATTTAATTATTTATGTATTTTAACATTTTAATAATGTCAATATATTCGTAAATTTTTATAACGTTTGTATACTTCTATTTAATGTTTTATTTTATATCGTATTTTAATATAATATTATATATATTGTGTCTAAAATTAGTGACTCTATTTCCTAATATTAATAGAGCCTCGTATGCTAGAGGAAATAAATTTGTCTGATGATTTATTTGTCAGCTTTAATAATAAATAATGAAACAAAGATTTGGTGGGATTAATAAATGGAGTCAATTGTCCCTCTAATTGGGCAAGTAGATGCCCATTAATTATAGTTTTTGAAGTCACTTTCTCTACAAAATAAAGAGAGAAAAAACTAATTATGTTGTTAACTTTTCATTTAAGTAATTACTAAAACCTAGCTATTGTTAAAAAATGGGATTATGAGAAATTATTTAAAGAAATAGGATGAATGTTATAGTAGTAGATAAATTTGGAAGTTGATGACGATGTTGGTAAAGTTGTCGACAAGTGTCAATAATTTGTTATATATATATATATATATTGTATTTTGGGATCAAATTGTAAAAACAATAAAAGTAAAGAGACCAAAATGAGAATTTTCAATATTTTTTTTATAATTGGTTTATATATATATATATATATTGTATTTTGGGTATTAATTAAGCCACCTCCATGCTTCCTGGCGGGGATTACTGACCACCTTCCTTATTTTAAACAAACGTCTGCTTCATAGGTATTTATACACACTGA